GTATCCAAGAGCTCCGAGTTTGGCTCCATGTCCTCATTAACCACACCATCAACAACCGCCAAGTCAGTCATGTCTACCAAATCCTCTTCCAATGATACTTCCATGACCACACGGTCAATTATATCACCCAAGTCATCCATATCAAGCAGTACCTCTTCAAAATCTAGCTCCTTGGGGACCTTTTTTTGCTGAGTGTTGCATTGGATTATTTGAAATAGATTCTGAGCAAATCTCCTTCGCAGCGCCCATAATTGCAGCAGCACTGGACTCCTTTTTCTGCCGTGAAAGGATCTCAAAACCCCTCTGAATGCCTCGTGCGTTTACTCCTGACGAAGTCTCCCCCCCCCCCCCCCCCCCCCCCCCCCCCCTCCCCCCCCCCAAACCTATCTTCACCTAACTTTTCCCCACGAAAATCCTCCCATCTCATCTCACTACTCTCGGAGGCCTTTGCCTTTCCATCCAAAGAGTCCCAATTAGTGAATTTTGGCTCATGAGCCAACTTTGTAGCGACCCTTTTATCACTTAGAGCCCCCTTGTAACTCGCAGCTCCTCCTTCATATTTTCCCCTTTTAAAACGTCCCTCAGCCGTCCTCTCTCTCTTCGGGTTTAAAATTGGGCATCTGCCCGAGTCATTGCAGAGGCTGTAACACTCACGACAAAAACCATGAAGTCTTTCATAGCAGAGGAGCACTAGTGATTCAACCCCTCCCTGGAACTCCACTGCCATGTCAAATATAAGCGGCTTGAAAGCATCAACCAAGAGGAGAAATATGCCGCCATCTAAGTCCACTTCCTTCACGACACCAATAGCCTCTCCGATGCTCCAGAAGGTTGTGTCAGCCCAGAAATGCAGTGGAATCACCATTACTCTCACCCAAAAGGTAAGTGAGGATGGGTAATTTAGCTCCATCGAAGGTTCCCATCGAACAATGACCACCATCCAAACATCAAAATGATATGGTTCCATCTCTAGCTCAGCGTTGATATCATCTTCCTCATCAAAGTCGAACTGAAATCTTCCAATACCAAGATCCGCCCTTGCAACTCTGTCCTCCACCTTCCATATATGTGGGAGCATAAACAAGAGAGAGTTCATGTCATGTACCGCCGGGTTGATACACCTGCCAATGAGGGTACGAGAATAGCCTTTAATGAACTCCAAGTTGTCAAACTTTGGAACCGTTATCTTGAGTCTCAGAGCCAATGTAGCCTTCTTCCTGTTACTCCCACTTCCCTCCCCGATCATACCTGATTGAGACATAGTGTTTCCCAAGAAAACCAGTGTATTAGAACGTTTGAGAGATTAGAAAAACGAGACGTGAGTGATGCTTTGAAATGAGGATATACAACTACTATTTATAATAACCGATTGCACACCATATTTTTAATATTTTAATCATACTTGATACTTTTTATTTATTTAATGGATATGCTGATGTGTACCTATCAATCCGAGTTTCTTCGTCATATGTGGACGCTCTCAATGGCTTAAGGCTTCAACTTTTATATATATTTAGAAGTTAGAAATTTTTCTTAATTTATACTATAAATTTTTAGTTTTTATAATATCAGTTTTGTTTTGTTAGTTTAACTCTTTTACATTAATTTTCATTTAATTTTGAAGGATATTATATTTTGGTTTTTCTAACATAGTTTTTTTTCTATTTGTTAGTTAAAATTATTTATTTTGATTTTTCCATCTAGAAAACAAAATTAATATTTAAAAAATTAATTTATAATTTTTTATTCATATTTAACATTTTTTAATTTGAATATGTTGATATATACCTATCAAATCGAATTTCTTCGTCATATGTGGATGCTCTTAATAGCCTAAAGTTTTAACTTTTATATAGTATAGACTAGGTATATAACTCGCGCTACGCGCGAGTCTGTATTAATATTTTGATTTATTTTTTTAGCTACTATCTTTAAAATTATTAAAAATTATATATATTTATAGAAATTTTCATTTATATAAGAGAATTTAATATATAATGTGTAAATTATCCTATTTTTATTTATAAATTTTAAAACACTATTAGGTAAAATAATAACAATGACACCTATCGAATTATCCAACTTTGACGTACATATACATTTGATTTAGAGAAATATAATCTTGCTAAGATTTTGTTATTATTTTCTGTTTTCCATAGAATTTATATAGTTCTTTTTTTTCTTGAAGGTTTATGTGTTCAAATATTTAGTCTTTTTTATTGAAAGTCTTATTGATGTTGTGTACCACTGTATATATAATCCATGATTCATGTTGATTCGTATTTAGTTTTGTTAGGAAGCTGTAATGATGATGCAAAACTATTTTTTCCTTCTCCATCATGTCTTCCAAGAGTTTTATGTTATATTTTTATTCAGTTTTCATTGTTTTAATTGTTAAATCGAGTTGTTGTAGATTTTTTAAATTGATAATTGATAATGGTTACTTTTTTTTATACATGTATTGTTAATTGTTAATGTTTTATTTAAATTTTAAATTTTTAAACCATATTAACATTTTCTGATTTAATAAATATGTTGATTTGGATCAATCATATTGAATTTACTTTTTTTGTTGGACATAATTTGTTAAATTAACTTTTAATGTTTTAATTATACTTAATAATTTTTGGTTTGATTTCAAAGCTGATATGGACCAGTTAAATCAATTTTTTCTGTCCTAATCATATTTAACATTTTTTTATTTAATGAATATGCTGATGTGGACCAATCAGATCGAGTTTTTTAATCTCATGTGGACGCCATCAATGCACCATGCCATTAACTTTTATATCTTTTATATATTACTAGGTGATCGGCCCGCACCGTGTGCGGACTATAAAATAATTTATATGTTTAATATATGATTAATATTGTATATTGATGATACTCTATTCATACATAATATTTTTTTTTGATCTATTGTTAATTAAATCAAATTGAGTTTTAGCATCTTTACTTATCCTAAGAGCGGATAGATGGTTGCACTGTAATCGAGGTTAACAAATTTCATGAACAACATGTTCGTATGAGACTTTGACTTTTGCATAATTAATATTTATATTCATACACAAATTTGTGGAAAAAACGAGTATTGACTTTCATGTGTTAAAAGAAAATAGCAATGCATATGTTTTGTAATATATATATATATATACATATATATTTATAATATGTTATCATTGAATTTTATAAAAGAAATAAATATGTATATATATGCATGTAAGTATGAGCTAGAAATAAATAAATTGTAATATTTAGATGTTGGTTAGTTTTTCTGATATTTTCCGTAAACGTTATGTTTTTACACAATATAGTTTTCGGCTTTTATCAACAATCATGAAAATCATTTCTATCGTTTAATATCAAATCAAAATTTATTATTTTTCAGCGATTTTTGTTTTTGGTAAATTATTTTTCTGCGTTTTGTGATATATAATTTCAAATTAAAAATTAAATTAAATATTAACAAAAATTACAAAAAACTCTAAAGAAATAAAATATAAGATTTCACTTTACCATGAAGATAAATGGAGTACATTAGATAATCCATTAGTAATTTTCCTTTTCAATAAAAATTATGATAAGAATTTGTTATGAAATTTGTGAAATCATATTTTTGTAAAAGCAAGTGTGTATTATAAAATTTGGTATACACATGTGTTCATTAAAAATAACGTGTCTTTTCAAGATTTTTTAAATAACTTTGTCAAACAAACTGCAATATTTTTACGAATAACTAAAACTGTAAAGATTTATGTTTGTTTTTACTTCTTATTTATATTTTTTCATCTTATTATCATTTATTCTTTCATTCGATTATTTTTATTTTATTTATGATATTAAATTCTCGATATGTAAAATATGATAAGAGAGAAGATGAGATGGTAATAAAAACTATGTAAATTTTAAAAAAACAGCAGTATAAAAAGTGTTAAAATTATATACAAATATATGGTCATATCAATACTATAAAATAGTAATAATTAGTATATACTTTATTCATTTTCCATAATAAGTAATGGTTCGAACAAACAAATTATTTTAAGTTATGTTACTTTTTAAACTTTTAATAAAAGTTAATTATTATTTTATTATTTTTAAATCTTTTTTATGTTGATTCATGATTCATGATTCATGTTGATTCGCATTTAGTTTTGTTAGGAAGCTGTAATGATCATGCAAAACTATTTTTTCCTTCTCCATCATGTCTTCCAAGAGTTTTATGTTATATTTTTATTCAGTTTTCATTGTTTTAATTGTTAAATCGAGTTGTTGTAGATTTTTTAAATTGATAATTGATAATGATTACTTTTTTTATACATGTATTGTTAATTGTTAATGTTTTATTTAAATTTTAAATTTTTAAACCATATTAACATTTTCTGATTTAATAAATATGTTGATTTGGATCAATCATATTGAATTTACTTTTTTTTGTTGGACATAATTTGTTAAATTAACTTTTAATGTTTTAATTATACTTAATAATTTTTGGTTTGATTTCAAAGCTGATATGGACCAGTTAAATCAATTTTTTCTGTCATAATCATATTTAACATTTTTTTATTTAATGAATATGCTGATGTGGACCAATCAGATCGAGTTTTTAATCTCATGTGGACGCCATCAATGCACCATGCCATTAATTTTTATATCTTTTATATATTATATGATGTAGAGTTTGATTTTTACACTTTGTTTTACTAACTTTTTAAAGGCTTTTTGTGTTAATATCATATCTAGACTTTGAAGGCACTTTTGGATAGAGGACGCGAACTGCCTTTGCCTGATGTGGTTTTAATCAATGGCCATGGAGTCACCTTTTCTACTTCTTTCACCGTCCACAAAGGTTCATCTTAGAAAACCCCAACTTGGATACGTAAGTTACGAAAAGAGCTTTCTCTAATGACTTTGTGAACAACGAAATAGGTAAAACGTACAGATTTAGAATATCGAATGTGGGGCTTCAACATTCCCTGAACTTCGAAATATTAGGTCATATGTTGAAGCTCGTTGAGGTTGAAGGAACACACACGGTTCAGTCCATGTACACTTCACTAGACATTCACGTTGGTCAGTCTTACTCTATCCTGGTCACCATGGACCAGCGTCCCCAAAATTGTTCCATTGTCGTCTCCACGAGGTTTACCGACACACAACTCTTTGTCGGATCCACTCTCCACTACTCCAACTCCAAAGGATCTACGTTTGTACCTAGTAGACAACCTGCCAATGAACTAGACTTTTCTATAAAACAAGCCCGGTCCATCAAGACCAACTTGACTGCGTCCGGGCCAAGGGCTAACCCTCAAGGCTCGTACAATTATGGTCGAATCAAGATTTCTAGGACTTTAATACTCGAAAGCTCGGAAGCCCTTGTAAATAAGAAGCAACGCTACGGCATAAATGGCATTTCCTTTGTTCCTGCGGATACTCCACTGAAGCTAGCGGATTACTTTAAAATCAAAGGAGTTTTCAGAGAAGGAAGCATCCCTGACATGCCGAGAAGAGAAGAGGGAGGAATGAGGCTGGAAACGGCAGTGATGGGAGCACACCACAAAGCTTTTCTTGAGATCGTCATTCAAAACAACGAGAAGATAGTTCAGAGTTATCACCTCGATGGTTACAACTTCTGGGTTGTCGGGTGAGGACAAGAGCTAAGCCTCTGAGAATAACATGAATGTGTCTATGGTCGTTGACGTATGTGAGTTTTCAACAGAATGGATAATGGAACATGGTCACAGGCGAGCAGACGAGACTATAACCTTAGGGATGCTATTTCTCGCTGCACTACACAAGTACGTAAAACTTTTTCGTATATTTTGCCAAAATAAAATTAATACTCCATATGTTTGTTATTTTAAGTGATGTTTAGACAAATAGCACGCCAATAAAAGTTAGAAAATATCTCAAGGGACGCTGTTTCTCGTTGAACTACTCAAGAGAATCATGTAAAATGCGTCTGTGGTCCTTCACATAAGTGATTTCTCCATATCTCTTTGACTTTATCGGAAACAAATTTTGTATATATTGAACATTACGGAATCGTGTAATGAATACTAGTATAGTATCACGCTATATAGTCAAAAGGAGTAATTATAGTATTCATTACACTTTTTCGAAAAATGGAGTGATAATAGTGTTCATTACACTATTCAGTGTAGAAAATCTAAAACGTCACCTTAAATTGAAACATTATTTTTCTTTAACAAAAACATCTTTCAACAAATAAAAACTGAAAGAGTGAAAGTATTAAGGATCCTGATCTCAAAGTTCGAAATGTATTTGGTTGCTGTAGGCCTATCCAAAATCTTGGACAGCAGTGTATGTGACATTGGACAATGTGGGAATGTGGAATCTAAGGAGTGAGTTTTGGGCGAGGCAATACTTAGGTCAACAATTCTACATTCGAGTTTACTCCCCGGTTCAGTCTCTCAAAGATGAAGATCCGTTGCCCAAGAATGCTTTGTTGTGTGGTCGAGCTTCCAACAGACACAACCTCATCATCACTCCGTAGCTACCATTTTGCATAACTCCATTCACATCAATCTTTTTTTTTGGTAGGGACTCCATTCACATCAATCTTGAATGAATTAACCAATATTATTGATATATTATATTCAGAAATAAAAGTTATATGCAGAACTTAATCCAATAAGCTTCTAAATAGCTAAAATCTTTGTACGTAACATATTTTTCACTTTAAACATATTTTGCAGTAATATTCGCTCTAATTCCACTTTATTTTCCACTCCAAAATAATGCAATGAATACTATTATATTGTTCATCTCTACATTTTGTAATGAAACTTTTTTTATTTCCAACATGATTCCTAAAAAAAATCTTTATTATTCATCTACATATAAAATTTACTATAAAAAATCGAGTTAGTTAAAAATAAAACAATAACAATAAATATGGGGCATATTGGATAAATGATATGGAATAATTTGGAAATCACCTAACTTTAGAAAACAATTAAAGGAATTTGAAATTTGAGAAAATTTTGCAAAATTATTACAAATTTCAAGTTTGAAATGATTAGAAATTATTTGGAGTCATTTGAAAACAATCTCTTTTATATATTTTATCAAATTATTTAAGAAGATTTATATCACTTATTTTAAAACTTCTATTTTCACTATATATTTTAAAAGTATATACACTATTTTTGATATTAAAACACGATCACACAACAACAATACCATACACATTATTATTTTCTTCTCTATCAGCTTAAAAAAAAGCCTAAGCAGCCTCTTTCATAAATGACTGGGCCTTTTTAATAAAACAAAACCTTAACATGAATGTCTTCTCCAATAGCTAAATCAATATATCTCAATTGCGGTATAAATTTTGTTAGTTAGCAAATCTCACCAGTTATTATAATAACACGGATTTTTCTTATTATCTGATTTGAACACAATATTTTTTACTTGAATTTATAATAATATTCTTACACAGTCTAATTTGATGTGGGGATTATTTCTTAAGCTTTAAAGCTATGAAATTTGTTTTCCTATCAAAAATAGTTTAGAAAATGCTATCAAATTTCAGAATCAAACATTACTTCAATTTGAAGAGACATCACATTTGCCCAATAATATATACATAAGGCGAGTTTAGAAGTATATTACCATGTTAACATAATTAAACATATAGTGCTTTATTGTTTTCTGCTGTTTTAACGAATACTTTGTATCGACTACTTTGTATGGAGTTTATGCAGCAGTGTTCATATTAGTTTTTTCAGATTTTATTTTCGAACTCTTTAATTATTATTTTTTTGCAATTTACCTGATCAATTTTATGCTTTTTATAATCATTAAATCTCGTTTGTTGTGTTGGGTGGATAGGAATTGTTAACAAAACAAAATATGAAAAAATAATATACAGTTTGAACATAAATTCATTTGTATAACATTTGTTTTATTTGTATTATAGAATTTAAGTTGTTGCTACAGAAAACGTATTCTGCACCAAACTGAAGCCTTAGACTGTAGACAATATCATTACAATCATGTAATTTGTTAGTAGATTCACCAAGATAACATGGTTGATTTACTTGACGGGTCGATCTTCTTAGCGGTTGCTCTACTTATTAATGATGTGCGTCATTCTAATTAACCTGATTGTTATGAGTCTTTGTCCGTGTTGATTCCGTCTCCATGCTCGTCATCACTGAACTCGTTTCTTTCGGTTTCGTCATGATCTTGGTGTAGATCATTGCCGATTACCGCAGGTCCTTCTCCTGCATCTACAACATCATCCCATCTCATATGAAACATTCACAGCCCCCTTCTAGGTCCGTCTCTTGTTTCATTTCAGCTACAGTTTGTCTTCTTCAAACACGTCACGGCTTACTACTATTTTTCTGTGTTGTTAGGTTATAAAGTTTATAGGCATTACATCCCGGCTCGATCCTATGATGCACTAGTGATTTCGATCTGTCGTCCAGTTTCTTGAGGTTTGTCGCTTCAACCTTCGTGTATGCAAGACAGCCGAAAACCCTTAAATGAATTAGATTTGGTTTCTTCTCTCGCAAGCATTCGTAAGGGGTCATGTTTTCAAGGGATTTTGTTGGTACCCTATTGATTACATAGGTAGAATGTCTACTGCTTCTCCCCATAAATAATTTGATACCTTCATTTCCTTGAGAATACTTCTTGTCATTTCCAACAACGTCCTATTCCTTCTTTCCACTACACTGTTTTGTTGCGGTGTGCAGGGTGCCATGAAATGTCTCTTGATCCCGTTTGTGTCACAGAAATATTAAAACTCCTTTGAAGTGAACTCACCTCCTCTATCATTTCTAAGTTTCATGATTGCTTTCCCAAGATCCTTCTCTACTAGACTTTTGAACACCTTGAACATTCCAAATGCTTAGCTCTTTTCTTTTATCGTCCACATATATCTTAAAAAAATCATCTATGATAACAAATATATATATATATATATATATATATATGTTATGAGCAATGGTTGATGGTGTTATAGAAACACATAAGTCTGCGTGTAGGAGTACTAGGGGTTTAGAGGCTCGAAACATGGATGACTTTAGAAAAGATTGCCAAGTTTGTTTCCCTACTAAGCACGACTCACACAATATTTGTTCTTCTCTGATTTCAGGCAACCAATGAACCATCTCCCGTTAGGACATAACTTTGATTTTTTTTAAATTTTATATGTCCTAATCTTGTGCCACCTCCAAGTATCGTCTTTTATGCTCGTGTGTAAGCATATCGGTTTCCTTATATTCAGACTGATTTTGTAGAGCCTATTGAGTGAATGTTTGACTTTTACCAAGAGTCTTCCACTTGGATCATGGAGTATCAAATAGTCTTGTCTCATCCTTACATCACACCCGGCTTAGCTTGTCTCAAACTTAGAATATTGCTCATAAGTTCAGAAATATAGTAAATATCGGGAACAAGTTTTTGTCCATCCATTTTTCTTTGAAATAGGATTGATCCTTTCCTTCTTATCTTAACACATGATCCACCTCCAGATTTTACCTTTCCCTTTATGTTCTCGTTGAGCTCCGTGAAATATTTCTAGTTGCCAGTCATGTGGCTAGTTGCTCCATTGTCAAGATAACATACTCCTTCTTCCCCTTCGTTAGTTTTGTAGTTCTTTGGTATGAAGTTTTCTTCGTTTATGAACAAGACTTCATGCATATAAAGGGCTGGATCAGCTTCCGTCTTAACTTTATTTGCTTCTTGTATCTTTTGTGTTCTTTTAGGACACGTGGAAGTAAAGTGACCAGGCTTTTCACAATGGTAACAGATTAATTTTGATCTATCCTTCTTTACTTTTGATTTGTTTGGATCTGTTTGATTTGTCTTCCGATGTTGTGAGTTGGATCTTCCTCCGCCTCGTCCTATGATTTCTCTGCCTCTTCTTCCACGCCCTCTCCCTCGTGATGCTTTAGAGTCTTGTTTCTCTGAATTTCCGTATAGCAGCTTTCCTTCTGTTTCTCCGTGATTCTCCTCATCGAGAATTCGTTCTTCATAAGCCTTGAATCTCCTTATAATATCCTCAAATCCTTTTGTATTCAGATCTAGAACTTTCTCGAGAGAGGCTATGGTTTGGATGTACTTATTTCTTGGCAAACTATTGAGAATTTTCTTAACAAGTTTAGGTTCCTCAATCATTTGTCCAAGAGAGGTTAACTTTAATGCTAGCTCCGATAACTTTCCAGCATAGTTATCTTATATATCCTTCATCTTGATTCTTTCAAATTCTGACATTATGTTTGAAGTCTTTCTTCCTTGACACAATCGGTACCAAGGTGACGAGTTTTGATTGCCTCCAATATTTCTATTGGATAGTCTTGTTCGCCTACTTGCAAGATAAGATCCTCTGGGATGGATTGAAACAGTAATCCTATTGCAATATCATTCTTGTCAGAAACTAATGAACCATGTTCAATAGTTTCCCACCCCTCGTGAATTCACAACAGAATTTTCACCCTCATGGCACCGTATAATTTGTTGCGTTTGGCATAGGGCATTGGATTGAAGAAGGAAATAACTTAAGAAAAACATCAAAAAGATTCAAGATAAACAAAACAAAGAAAAAAGTGTTAGTTAGGATGAACATCCTCCCCCAGACTTAAATTTAAATCCTCAGTGTGAAGAAAGCGAGAAGAAGATGGTAAAAATGAAGAAAAATAGATAAATGATTAGTAAACTTACCTGTTCATGGCTGAAAGGGAGGTGAGGGTGGGTCTGTTAGTTTTTTTTTCGATTTTTTTTTTTAACCTGAAACACTTAAAACCAGAACTAAAGTTAGAAAACGAAAATATGTATACTTACCAGTAGGTTACCTCACACCAAGCGCTTGTTTATAGTGATTAGCTTGACTTTGAATGCTGGGATAAGTGAGGCTGATTATGAGAACTTGTTTCAAAACAAGCTTTACATTCAAACACTTTTAACTTTAAATCTCTGCTCATTAATTCTTTCACAGCATCTTGTCATTTCTCCTTCATTACAGATGTAAGAACTGCTCTAAGCTTAGAGAAAGGCTTTGGGATTCCTTTGCACTTCATCTTATACTCAGTTGTGTTTCCATCACAGCTCTGAGGTATCAAATTCACTTGAGGATCTCCCTTTATCTTTTTCCTCTCCCCTCCCTTATTCATTTTTGCATTTTTGTTACATTCCTTTATTATCATGTGAGGATTTCCACATATTACTCCATCAGCTTCACTCTTATCACAAAAAAATTCCTCATAAATATCTGCTAGCTTATCTCTAGTAACCACAACAATGCAAGAGACATGTTTGGTAGTTTCATTAGCTAGGAGATTTTTGGCAATGTTAGAGAAGGAGATTCTCTTATTGGACATGTCAACAACTGGACCCACTATGGCCATGAATGGTCTCCCAAGAATCAAATGCATATCAGAGTTCTTGCCCATCTCCACAACCTGAGAATCAGTAGGTACTAGACAATTTCCACTTTAACAAGTAAGTCTGGAATGATACCATATGAAGTTGTGGTGGAAGAGT